ATCTTCAGTATTTTAGGCAAGGACTAGCACTAGAATGCAGGATTGTGAACATCAACTAAGCATTCCTGCCTTCTACAGTCCCTTCTCCACTTTTCCAGGGTCCCACGTTCCATAGAAATCACTGGGAATCCAAACTGATAGATGACTTGAGATGTGCTTTTCAATTTCTATCCTAAAGACAGTAGAAACTAGCATCTATTTGTTTCTATTTTCTTTTTTTAGGGACTCAAATGATTGTATTTGAAGTTGTATACTTCCTGCTTAGGAGAGCATTGTATCTCATCCCTCTCAACTTCCTATAATAAAGTTTCCTATTTGATGAATGCATACACATTACATATTTGATTATTTTTCTTTATGGAAGAAAAATACAGAATGTCTCATTAGATTATTTTGGTGACTATACTATACTCAAACCTGCTACTTTCTTTAAACATCGGCGAAATGTCTACCAAGTAGTTGAAAAGACCAATGTGCACATATTCTATAAAGTACTAAATATAGGGGGCCCCTAAGAGATCAATATTTTCCTGTATGTTTAGAGATTTTTTTGTTGCCAGATGTAGACACAACATGGGCTAGTAAACATATACACACCAGCCTGAGATTTTCAACTTATCAGTAAGTGACTTCACTAGATTCCCTTAGGTACTGCCAGAATTTAATTTTGTTCATCTCATTTTCCTTCCTTTTTCTCCCTCTTCAGTAGTGGGGCTTGAAACTGGGGCTTTGCACGTTATGCATGCCCTATACCATTCATCAGCCTCGGAAGATAGGGTCTCACAAATTGTCTAGGACAGACTTGAACTCCTCCTGGGATTACATTTGAGCCCCCACACTTGGCTCCGTTTCTAATCGAACTAAACATTTGGAGCCAAAAGACTGTATGTCAGCTAACAGGCATTATTTTTTTTCTCTTTCTTTTTTTGTGCTTGGGATCAATCCCAGAGGCTCACACATGATAGGTAAGCATTCTATCACTGAGTTCCACCCCCAGCCCAGCACATTCTTTGAGTTCATCAATACATGTTGTAGCACAATGCTTTGTCTAAATATATTCTGGCTCATTGCTTTGCACTGGAAGGTCAAAAAAATCCATTATTTCCTATTTCTTATCAAATGTGTAAAGCAAATTAACACATACTACAAACTAACACAAGACAGTATCTTACTTGCCATGTATATTACTTTTCCTCTTTAATATTAATTTGTTACAGTATAGTTTTCATTACTAACTCTATAGCACCTCAGTACTTCTAATTCCCTTAAAATGAAGATGTCTAGATTCCCAAACTCAGAATGATTTCTCACAAGGACACTTAATCTTTGGTTGGTTTTGGGTTTTGTTTTTGTTTTTTTGTCAGTCATGGGGCCTGAACTCTGGGCTGGGCACTGTCCCTTAGCTCTTCAGCTCAAGGCTAGCGCTCTATCATTTGAGCCACAGTGCCACTTCTGGCCTTTTCTGCTTATGTGGTGTGGAGGAATCGAACCCAGGGCCTTGTGCATGCAAGGCAAGCACTCTACCACTAAGCCACCTTCCCAGCCCCAAGACACTTAATCTTTAAATGACACACTTACTCTACATGACCTGAAGACAAACACTGACAGGACAAAAACAAAACAAAAACTTTACCATAGCACTGGTCTTCAAAATTTGACAATCATACCTAATAATTAATGTAATCCACAAACCAAAATTTCTTCTTGTATTACTTTAAAAAAAAGGAATTTGCATTGGTTGAATTCCTATTTAAAGATGGCATATAGTTTCTACCCATGGTATGTCTCCAGTAAAGATTTAAAAAAGGAGAGGGAGTTAAGGTTAATAGCTCCATGCTTCACAAATGATCCATAAAACAAAATCATAACTTCATTCTGACTTGCACCTTGATAATTTAAATAGTTATTTGATTAGGACATTAAATAAGCAAAGGGAGAACATTTTGTAGGCCTGTTGCTGAAGTAACCCTAAACACAAAGGGCTTAGAATCATCTCTTCTTATTTCTCTTCTGGAGACAAGGTCTTACTAGGTATCCCAGATGGCCTGGAACTGGCCATGTTCCCCAGGCTGACCTCAAATCTGCAGTCCTCTTGCTTCAGCCTCCCAAGTGTTGGGTTACAGGCATCCACCACCACGTGAGATAATCTCCCAGTTTTAAGTTTCTCTTCTAAAGAGATGGGTGTCTCTGTTTTGCCTACTTTGACCCTAAAATCCTGGGTTCAAGCTATTCTCCTTCCTCAGCCTTCCAAGTAACTTGGTGGTTCGGAAGCAGACACTTTTCCACATGTGCTCCACACTTTTTTCTTTTTTTGAGATAAGAGCTCTCTCTCCAACTCCAGGCTGGCCAGGACTATCATCATCCAGCTTGAATTTCTTTCTATAGTTGGAATGACAGGTATGTACCATCATGAGGAAAAATTCTCTGAATGAAAATTTAGTATCCACCACAGTAAAAGTCAGGTTTCTGGTATGGTTGAGACCTCAATTGGAAAAACCACTGTTGTATAATTGACAGAGTGTCAATTATTTAAGTTCATCTTTTAACCTGGACATTTGAAATAAGTGAACAGTAAGAAAAAAATTGAAAAGTTACTGTTCTTACTTCATCATGAAGATCCACACATTTTTTTAGTGCTGAAAATTGAACCCAGGGCCTTATACATGCTAAGCATGTGCCCTACAACCAAGTTACACTTCTCTTGCATTAGAGCTTAGCATTTAGGGTCAATTCTCAATGAATTTTCAATCATTCTGTGTGTATGTGGCTGGGGTGGGGGTGTGCTTATACTCAGGGTCTGAGTACAAGTTGTCCCTTATCTTTTTTGTTTAAGACTAGCGCTCTACCATTTGACCTATGATTTTATTTGTAGCTTTTTGCTGCTTAGTTGGAGTAGGAGTAGCAGTCTTTTCTGCACAGGCCAGCTTTAAACTGTGATCCTTAGATCTCAGCCTCCTGAATAGGTAGGATTACAGGTGTGAACCACTGGCACCTGGCTTTCCAGTCGTTCTTAAATCACTACCCTGATTTGGTACACAGTCTCTCAACTTCCCCAGCTAGAAGAGAAATCCCTGACATCTACAAGTGGCAGGCAGCTGTCAAGTTTGATACTGATGCAGCCTACCTTCATTTCATAGAATTTTCTCCACAGAAATCTTCCTGTGGAGATCTAGCATTTATTTTAAGGCACTAAACATAAAGTGTAATGAAAAAATTAGTAATCAATCACACCTTTCTAGAAATAAAAGACACTCTGTCTGCTTTAACATAAAGAAATTAAAATAATTTTTAATGGCTAGCTAAGCTCTTTTTCATCCTCCCAGACAAATTCCTGTGCCTTAGATTCATATTTTCTCAAGGCAGAGAGAAATATGAAAAGGATTCGGAAAAACAAACAAGCAAATGTAGCTGGAAGCCAAGTCTCATGATTAATGAATTTCATAAGGATAGTACTGAGTTAATGTATCCAGGGAACAGTAACAAAGTGCTTTTTATCCCCTAGTCCTGTAGCTTGAACTCAGGGCCTGGCAGCTGTCCCTGAGCTTTTGTGCTCAAGGCTAGTGCTCTATCACTTGAGCTACAGCTGCAGTTCTGGCTTTTTTTGGGTAGTTTTAGTGGAGATAAGAATCTCACTACTTTCGTGCCCAGGCTGGCTTCGAACCACGATTCTCATCTCAGCCTACTGAACAGCTAGTATTACAGGTGTGAGCCAATGGCACCTAGCTTCTTTCCATTGTTTTAAGAGGAAAACATGTAAGGACAATTTTTAATGATACTACATAAATAGAATTTGTTAACAGCAAAGAAAAACTTTGAGGAAAATAAATCCATTATGTAACTTGTTTCAGCAGAATTTTCCTCATACCTTCGAATGAATTCAATCTTGTCTTGAGGGGGAAAAAACCCAGCAAAACCCAACATCAATAAAAGCAGGGTTCAAGTTAATTAAATCAGCAGGCAAATGCCAGTAAATGAGTGATTTGATAGTGGAGGTAGGTATGGGGGTAAGATTTACCTAAAGGAAAAATATTTCCTGCACACGTGTGCACACACACACATATCCATGCATGTCCATGCACCACATATAACTGAATATCTAAGTTTAAATAGTATGGATGTGGAGAAGGCCCTATCCACCTGACTATGTATGCCTATATAAAAGAGACTTGACACACTATATACCATAGTCACTCTTGCAGAAGGGCCAGCATGGCTTGCACACAGACCTAGGAACAGATCCACAGCCACCTTCAAGAAATGCTGGTTCTATAGGAATGAGTAGTAGCTGCAGAATTATACTTCCTAATGTGCAAGATTTTTTTTTGTCGGTTATGGGGCCTGAACTCTGGGGCTTGGGCGCTGTCCCTAAGTTCTTCAGCTCAAGGCTATCACTCTACCACTTGAGCCACAGCTCCACTTCTGGCTTTTTCTGCTTATGTGGTGCAGAGGAATTGAACCCAGCCCTCATGCATGCAAGGCAAGCAGTCTACTACTGAGCCATCTTCTCAGTCCTGTAGGATTTTTTATATTGCTCTTCTTTTTAGAAATCTCCCCATTCCAAGAGTATTTAATTGGGCCCTGGAAAGATTAACTAACTCTTCAAATAGCTATGACTCAGAACAGGAGCTTCAGGAATTAAAACTAGCAATACTATGATCCTTGGAAATTAGGGGTAGAATATTCCTGGATTAAAATTTTCTGGGTGGAGGGAAGAAGGAAAAAAAACAAAACAAAAACAAAACCAACAATGAAGAGTTCTGGGGAGAGGTGGAAGGTGGTCCAGAAATCAAATACTAACAAAAATAAACAAGCATAACTTAAAAGGGCTTCAGGTAAGTGTCACTGAAACTGAGTTTGCTGACTTGAAGAGACTGCTTGGATGCAGGAGACTGAATCAGAGTAACTGATAGTATTACTTCTTGAGAAGGCTCAGCTAGGAGTGGTGTGGTGGGTACTGATGGGGTGGGGTGAGTGGCGTCAGGCCTCAGGCTCCATACTGTTCCTAAGGTTTCTGCTTGCCTGCTTTAGAAGGAAAGGGTGCTAACGCAAAAGGATCAGAAGCGGGCAGCTCCATAGTCCTGGAGGAAAGGGATGTGATGGAAACAGAGCCAGCTATTGACTGCTTATTGGTTTGAGAGACAATTTTGTAGGCAGCAATGGGCTGAGCTTCTGGACTTGGCTCGTCGTCTGGGCTATAGTGACGAGAATATTTGGATAAAGATTGGGGTCGGAATGGTTTGCCAGCCACAGGGCTTGAGACAGCTTCTTTGTGGGGTTGAGGTCCTTTGTTTCTGTCATTTGGATGGCTCCCCGATTCCACGGAGGATCCTCTGGGAGAAATGCTGTCAAGATGGTCTGCTGCTTGCACAGGATGGGAAGGGAGGTTAGATTGTTGCACAAAACTAGCTATGGAATACTGAGCTTGGACAGTGGTGTATACTGCTCTATCAAGACTTGAGAGAAGAGGAACATCACCTGTCTGACTGAGGAGACCTGCAGGGACAGGCAGCTCCTGGGAGGAGGCCTGAACAGCTGGTAACTCCTCCATGCTTTTCTTCTTGGTAAAAGGAGCTCTTAAGAACACGTCCACCTCCTCTGGCTGGGAAGAAGCCACATTGCCTTTGGAGACAAATGGCGCTTTGGAGAAAATGTCCATGTCATCAGTTGGAATCCTTGAGCTCCTGAAGGGAGCTGTGGCAAAAACATCTGGCTCATTGTGAACATCGGTGGTTGACTGTGTGAGGGGCTGAAACTGATTCTTTCTTCCACCTTGTGCCACTCTGCCTTGCTCAGTAGAGACTTCAGATGGAGTAAAGGGAATGGCTCCTCCCAGCTTTCCCTGGGGAGGCCTACAGCTCTCATCTTCCTCTTCAGACTCCAGGAGGAGAGGTCGAGACCCACTGCAGTCCAGCATGTCTCCCTCCAGGTCAGTCCCTTCCTCTTCACTGCTGTGGAAAGAGCTGTTGCTTGAAGGACCATCTCGGGCCAAGTAGTCAGATTCTAAGTTGTTCTGAGTCTTTGCACCAGGTACGCTGGAGGGGTCTGGATACAGGGGAAGGCCTTTAATGCCCGTTGATTCTTTAAAGTGCTCTACAGTAATTACAGGGCAGGGATTAGGCTCTCTCTGGAGACCTGGAAAAGCACAAAATGCAGAATTAATGTGCAGGTCAGTTCAACTCTTTGGGAACATTTAATGGTCAACCCATGGCAGAAACATTGTGGGACCAAATAATAAATGTTGAAAATGGAAAAGGAAAAAAAAAAAGTCAAGCAAGGAAATTGCACACAGACTGGAACACAACCAATCACCACCTCACAATTTTAGAACATGATAGGCACATGTGCAGGAAAGGAGATGAAGATGTTAGGCACACAGACATTCAGCATAACTATGCAATGCTCCTACTGGTGGGGTCAGCCACGGACACCTGCTCTACCTGGCACCGGCTCACAATGGAATGAAAACAAACCCAGTCACTCATCTCCACATATACCATGACAGTTTTGGATTATGTAGAAACAATGTCTGAGGATGAACTCAATTCATTATCTTGGCATGTGGCCATTTACTCCACAGCTGAGGATCAGACCCTCTGAAAAGAAGCAGAGCATGGCTGCTGGATAAATGCAAATTTATTTGATGATTTACATCACAAGCACTATTCACACAGCACAGAGTGCCCAAATGCAAATACTGAAGGTACTTTTGAAAGGAAGCATACAGAATCAAATCATAGTAAATAAAATCACCTTCAGCTGGAGTTAGCCTGGAATTTTGTTTTCAGTCTTCTCAGCAAAAATCTCCTTTGCTTAAATGAATCCATCATTACGTTCTTTAAGCAGGAGTAAAATGCATGGGTAATTAGGAAAGTATTAGCAAACTCCAATATATGTCTACAGCTATCTAGGTAGAGGTGCCTCAGGGTACTCTGGCTTTTAAAATCAAAGAAACAATTATCAGAATGCAAGAGAGCTTACCTTCCAAGAAATATTAGCAGGTTAGAAGTATGTCATTGGGCACATGTTAGCAAGAGGGTAGGAAAAAGGCATATGTAACTAAGCAAGAAGAATCCAAGAAAGGGCAGTTGAGGGGAAATGTATCATTTAATCATGGGCTCAATAAAGAGATACCACTGTAGTTTCCCAACCCACCAGGTTAAAAATATTAGGGACAAGGATTTGGACCTCTGTACAGATGGAATTTAAGCATCCCTCTCCCACCCACATGGGCCCTCTTCCCTCCTGGGTAAACTATTAGCTTGTAGAAATTTCTGCTAAATATAGTATCCCCTGCTCTTGAATTAAACACACGAGAACACAGGACAAGAGGCATCAAAATCAGTTTATTGGGAAACCAGTCATTTAGAGAGACATTACATTGTAAAGAGAAAGTAGAGGGATCTAAACATCTTAATAAAAAATATTGTGTTTTTCTGAATACTCCTTTTTGCAATTTTTTTAACAGTTCTGACTTTAAAATAGTTTTCAAAAAGAACAAGTGGGTTTGTTTTTAACTCATTTAAATTTTCCTTTCTCATGGTTTGAATGCATTCAAGTGGATTCCAAATTCAAATTTTAAGCCATATTCTGTAATATTGCCAAACAGCTTTCAGAATAGTATTTGAAGGATGAAATTTTGAGATAATAAAACTTTTCTTGCATTACAACTATAACAAAACTATGAATTTAAGTATTAGGAAAGCATCAGTCCACTGAGAGGAAATAAATGGAACACTTTTTCCTTTGCAATATGTATGGATGCAATTTCTTAGGCTAAAATACTGATATTATACTACAGTAGGTCTCAATGAGACTCAGATGATAATTTGGGGGTGAAGGGAAGATCAATTGAAATGGGAGCAAAAGTTTTCCAAAATAAAATTCACCAAGTCCTAGATAGGTAGAAGAGGATAGCAACAGTATGATAAAGTTTTCAGTTGCCAAAATTAGGGCACAATTTCTCATCTTCTCAAACTATCTTGAATGTTGATGCTATACTAGTTTTTGAAGAAAAGCAAATGTCTTTTAGAACAAAACAAACTTGGAAAATTTAGCCAAAACAGGGGCTAATTCTGGCATTATATGGGTTAGTAACAATAACAAACACTACTTTGAATGGAGTCAGTGCACTTGAGAATTTAAGTTAAGCTTAGTCAAACCCACATTAGTACATACAGGGACTGCCAGAAAGCAGTAGCTATCTATTATCTATTCACTCAGAAGATTTTTAGATGTCTGCAATGCTAGATTACATTTGTATTTGTGTGTATGTGTGTGTGTGTGTGTGTGTGTGAGTGCCAATACTCAGGGTCTCAAACTCCTGTTTGGCTTTCCCCCCTCATGGCTGGTGTTCAACCACTTGAGCTATGCCTTCAGTTTTGGCATTTTGCTGGAGATATGGGTCTCCTTGGGTTGGTCTGTACCAGGTGGCTTTGAACTGAATCCTCAGATCTTAGCCTCCTGAGTAGCTGAGATTATAGGTGTGAGGTACTGGCCCTCCGCCACAATGCTAATTTACATTTTGAGAGCTGTGAAGAACCAGGGAAAGAGTGTGTATGTGTGTGTGTGTGTGTGTCCATCCATCCAATACACAGAATTAGACAGGTAGGAAGAACATGCCTAACCCACCATAATTATTTCTGTCAAAAAGTAGCCTTTTGGTCTGGAACCCAGGTAGAAAATTCTTCAACTCACATATTCTGTAACCTTCATAATGAGTAATGGGCTAAGCCACATTTAAAATTAGCAACAATGTTTAAAAAACATCATAATCTCTAGACTTCTGTTCTTTAAAGAAGTACCACAGCCATTCCCCACTTCTCTTTCAGCATTAACTTGCCTTGATAGGCTGAAAAGTATATTCAGTAGATTTTTCTGAGGCAGCCAAGTCTCTCAACCTTCCCATTCTTTTTGGAGGTCCTGAGTAACTGAGCTTTTGCAGCTCTCCAGGCCTATTACTCTAAAGGCCAAAGATGGAAAATATGGTAAAGCCCCTATTTCTATATGCCCACAGGCAAGCAAGGCAGTTAAGAGGAAAGATTCCAAACAACTAAATAGAAGGTATATATAAGAAATCTTGCAGGGTCTAGGAATATGGCTTAGTGGATTAGAGTGTTTGCCTAGCATGCATGAAGCCTTAGGTTCTATTCCTCAGTACCACATATACAGAAAAAGCTGGAGGTGGTGCTGTGGCTCAAGTGGTAGAGTGCTAGCTTTGAGCAAAAGCAGCTCAGGGACAGTGCCCAGGCCCTGAGTTCAAGCACCAGCACTGGGAAAGAAAGAGAGAAGCGGGGGAGAGGGTAAGAAATGAGAAATTTTGCTGACAGTTAAAGATCTTTGGGGAAATATGTGAATGTGTTTTTACAGGAAAAGTTGCATGTGTTGCGTGAACGGACTTTGTAAATGAGCACAACCTTGTACAATGAAAAACATGCTTGTAGCAGTCTGCTTACTAGTAATGAAAGGTTCACACCAACTTAACTTCATGATTTAATATCATTTAATGTAATTTAATATCATTTCTCTGTTAAATGGAATATATAGCAGATATGACCACAGAGCTCAGAGAATTAAGCTCAGGACCTCGCTATATAGTCTGCAAAAGGCTCTTACTTCTCATGGAGCCTAAGATAGGCATTTTATTGTTATTCTTGCTAATGGGTCTTTTTTTTTTTTGCTAATGGGTCTTTTGATTTTGTTGTATCACGTCTGTTTAAGCCAGTAAAAATCTTTTTCATGCTCTGATGCAGTACTGTGTGCCAAGCTAAAACATACTTTTCAAAACTTCTAGGGTTAATAACTCTTTATTAATCTAGTCAAGGCCACAAGCTATGTAGATTTAAGAATTCATGCTCCTCAAGTAGTAACTAAAGGGTCTCCAAAAGTACTTGATGGGTTGGCAACTACCCATACTGTCCCCTATTAACTTCTTCTTTTTGGCTGTTCCTGGGGCTTGGACTCTGGGACTGGGTTCTATCCCTGAGCTCTTTTTGCTCAAGGCTAGCACTCTATCACTCAAGCCACAGCACCACTTTTGGCTTTCTCTGTGATTTAATTGGAGATAAGAGTCTCACAGAGGGGCTGGGAAGGTGGCTCAGTGGTAGAGTGCTTGCCTTGCATGCATGAGGCTCACGGTTTGATTCCTCAGCACCACATAAACAGAAAAAGCTGGAAGTGGCTCTGTGGGTCAAGGGGTAGAGTGCTAGCCTTGAGCTGAAAAGCTGAGGGACAGCGCCCAGGCCCAGAGTTCAAGTCCCACAACCGACAAAAAAAAAAAGTCTTCACAGACTTCAAACTGTCATCCTCAGATTTCAGCCTCCTGAGTAGCCAGAATTACAGGTGAGAGCCACCAGTGCCTGGCTCCTATTAACTTCTGAAGTAAATGAAAGTGCTAGATGATTTGGGGATGGAATGACCCAGAAAATTTCATCTATATGACATAGACTACTATCAGAGTACTCTCCGAAGAACTGAAATCTTAACATTTAAATTTCAGGGTGGATATTTCTTGATGAACTATGTCAAGAGTTTTACTTTTCTCTACAGCATGAGATTAAAAAAAAAAAGTGACTGGGATTATCCAAGTCATAACTCTTGCCAAGAGTCAAAATAACGACTTGGGAGTATTGGGCAGCCTTTTACAGTAGTAAGTGAATAGAAAGCCACATTTTCTTTCACAGATCTTCAAAAATCTGGCACTGATTGAAATCCATAAGGTTTTCGTTTAACTTTTTTCTTTCTTCTTTCCTTTTCTTTTTTTTTCCTTATTTATTTATTTTTTCAGAATTGGGGCTTGAGCTCAGGGTTTTGGGCAGGTAGCTCCACTGCTTGTGCACATCTCCAGCACTTTTTCCTTCTGATTGTTTTGTGAGACAGTGTCTTGTTCTTTGGATGGGGTCTGGCCTTGAACTACAAGGAAGCCTCCTGAGTAGCTAGGATTACAGACATAAGCCACCATACCCAGCCTGAAATTCAAATCAATGAATTAAAGGATGTACACCAAACTAATTATTTCTGTACACTTTTGGCTTCAATCATAACTTTAACTACTTGATTCTATCATCTGTTGGATAGCTATAGTAAACCCCAGAAGTGGAGGGAGGCCAGTACTTGTCTGGTGATACTATGTCTCT